AGCTCGCCGAGACGAAATCTTGGTGCGCAGCCTTGCTCAGCTCGCTCGTGTAATCCGCTCGGTCACGTAGGTGTATGGTAAAAATTGGTTGCATCCCGTAATAGTGTTTTCTTCAATGTGTCACGCAGAGTGTATTGTAGGTAGTGATTTACGCTATAGAGCATTTGATAAGAGAGTTTCTACCAGTACTTGCTTTGAAAATAACATGGGTTTTCTATCTGGCAAAAAAAGGTGTCGCTGAATTTGAAATCATATGAAGCCAAACCTCATCGTCAAATTACTGTAACACTTCAGCAAAACCATGGTAAGCAAACTGAATGGTTTTTGTGATTAGCGTGTCTTGATGTAAGCAAAGTTTTGCGCTAACTTAAGGGCTTTGAATATCGAGCGATAATAATAATGAGCACGCATTTTCGCAAGAACGTAATTCAGTGCGCAATGCGAATTTGAATTTTTAAGAGATTAATCGATAGGCTAGTTTTCATTAAACCCTGTCATAAAAGATCTTCCAAGGATTTCGCAGAGATAAGGCGAGAATGACTAATGAACTTTGGAAAAATGCACGTACGCCTAAAATCTGCCTAACTTATCGGCCTAACATTGAGTAAAACGCCAGTGTGAAAAGCCTACGACGTTCATGATCAGCAGGGCACATAATCTATGCAAATTTGCGAAATTCGAATCTATGTGACTTTCTTGTCCCTTGAGTGAATTACTCGCATTCAAGCTCTTCGCCGGAGAGTTGAAGCAGAAACTTTGAAATTCACGAATCAACTGCAAACTTTGGTTTGCTGACCCGCTGTTTGCGAATGCAGTCGTTCCTGTATGGTCCTATAACGAATTACAATGAGGAGGCGCTGTAATTTTGTGATTCCGCATTTGCAAATTTTTCACCCTCTTTTCGTAGATATCCGAATGAGTTATCTTTATTAAGTATCCTAATTTTCATGGTCAGCAGGCCAGACTACCTCTAATAAGCAGAGGTTTCACGCTTCGAAAGCTCCCACGGATTTCTCTAGAGGGAAATTTTGGATTGCCGGAAAGTTTGCTTGTAGTGCTTTTTTGAAAGCTGTTTATAAACATAGCCTATATTCACTGTACTGCGCATAGCTGGGCGCACATAGCGAATACTATATATGGCAGAATAGTTCGGTCATTATTTGATAGCAGAATTTGTACCGATTTCCACGGAGATATTCTAGGGAATTCTATTAGGTTGTTACATAAGTCTTGTTGCAGTTAACTTCTAACGGTATAAGTCATACACCTCAGTCTTTGCAGGGTTCCAAGGTACCATTCGATAGAGCAAAGCAAGCTCTAGAAGAAGGTCTTTAAAAGTTCGCATCAGCTCCGACCCACCGTAAGTTTGCATCCAAAATCTGAATAGTACTGAAGATTCAAAAATCGCGAAAAATTCATATCTTTGTTCAGAAAAATTCTACGAATCTCCAACTTGCCCACAAAAATTGTCCACTACATATATACACTCATATGTACCATTGCTGTATTTCTTCCTCATCTAGAAATCGAGAAAAGGAAAATTTTTAGTTTTTACAAGAACGAAGCTATGCTGTTTTTATTCATGCATTACAGCAACGGTACGTATGAGTGTTTGATATAGTGGGCAATTTTTGCGGGCAAGTTGGAAATTCGTTTCTTTCACAAAGATGTGAATTTTTCGCGATTTGTGAGTTTTCAGTACTACTCAGATTTTGGATGCAACCTTGCGGTGGGTCGAAGCTGGTGCGAACTTCTGCAGAGCTTGTTGTAGAGCTTGCTTTGCTCTATCGAATGGTACCTTGGAGCCCTGTAAAGACTATGAGGTGTATGACTTGTCACTGTATGACTTGGAAGTTAAGTGTAACAAGACTTATGTAACAACCTAATATGTGATAAAGGGAAAAGATACAGTCGATTTCCCGATCTCGCGCAGCTCCAGCCCCTACATCGTAATTCTATAGGACAACTAATTATGGACTACGCCTTTCGTAAAAAGCCGTCTGAAAAATTATTATTATTTGATAGCAGAATTTTAGGGCAAAGCTAGATTAATCCAAGATTTTCGATATTCTAGCAAAAACCGAGGGAGAGCTCGAAGAACGTGAAACTGGAGAAAATGAAAAAACTCGGGTTTCTTTGAAAGTCCACTTACAAAGGCAATTTGTTTTGCTAACTATGAAAATTAGATCTGCTTCGCAAGCTAGCTTGCTCTTGTGGAGTTATAGTAAGCAAAAGTTAGACGAACATCGATTTCTCCAGATACCATCCCTTCTCTCCCTTTGAAAAGGAAACCTCCGTCTATCAGCGCAGGGTCATCTGTGGAAACAGCTCTATCTAATTGTGCTTACTGAAATTTTCTAATGTGACGTATGTAGCGCCACACCGTTGCGAACAAACGTCCACACAAAAAATCAGTCTACTGTCAGAAAATCATGGTAATGCGACATGTCACAAGATTTGCATTGATGAGTTAAACATAGTGCTCCTTCCGATTGAGAATCTACGCAATCTGAGGGAAGTTATGACGCTGCCTAATTTGTGATTTAAGTGAAAACGCGGCAACAACAGAATGTCTCGCGAACAACAAAGTGTTTCGAATGCTCAAGACACCCGGCAATTCGGTAAGAAATAGGCGATATCCGGTAAGAAATACAGACTAGTGAACGGTGTATCACAAAACTCTCAAAATTAGTTCCAAAACGAGGTCTTTAGTAGAGAGAAAATCTTATTTGAATGTACTTGTGCAAGCGTATAACCCGGTACATGTTTAAGATGGAGAGCGTGAAGCATGTTCTGATAGGAGTGTTCACAAAAATACTTACATTAGTAGAGATAATTCATTCGGATAAATTCTATGAAGAAGAGGGTGAAATGCGGAATTTACAGAATCACAGGTTACATCCTCCTTACTGTAATTCGTTGTAGGACCATATAAAGCGGAACTGCATTCGCAAACAGTGGGTAATTACCCACTGTTGTTGTTTATCCACTGTTGCTGGTTACCCACTAATTACACACTGTTGCTTTGGTTTGCTTGAGCATTCGTGAATTTCAATTTGCTACAACGCTCCGGCGAGGAGGTTATATGCGAATAATATACTCATGAGAGGACAAAAAAGTCACATAGATTCGAGTTCCACAAAGCTGCGTAAGTTAGTCCTGCTTATCAAGAGCATCGTAAGCTTTTCACATCAGCGTCCTACCCTAGGGATAAGCTAGGCAGATTTTAGGCGTATTTTTTCCAAAGTTTACTAGTTACTCGCGCCTTACCTCTGCGAGAACCTTGAAAGATTTTTTAATGACAGAATTTAATAAAAAGTGACCCATCGACTTTTCTTTTCAAAATTCACATAGCATTGCGCACTGAATTACGTTCTTTCGAAATGCGTGCTTATTATTATTATCGCTCGATATTCAAAGCCCTTAGATTAGCGCAAAACTTTGCTTACATCAAAACACACTAATCACAAAAACCATTCAGTTTGCTTACCATGGTTTTACTGAAGTGTTACAGTAATTTGACGATGAGGGATTTTGGCTTCGTGTGATTCCAAAACTCAGCGGCCCTTTTCTTTTTTACCAAATAGAAAACCCATATGATTTTTTGAAGTACTTGGTAGAAACTCTTCTATCGACTGCTCTATATCGTAAGTCACTTCCTACAATAAAAGAAAACAGCAGCACAGGATGCAATCAATTCTTAACATCACCTACCACGACCGAGCAGATTAACTTTTGATTCAACTGGCTTGGCCCCGTTAGGGCGGGGTTTTGTGATCTAATTGAGGCTGCCCTCGCCCGCGTCGCACTTGCGTCTCTCTCGCGCAAGTGCTCTCTGATTACTACCTAGCCTTAATTAGGTGACGAAGCCCCGCCTTTGCCAAAGCCAAGCCAGTTGAATCAGATGGTACACGAGTTCGGGTTGAGCCGGACTGCGCGGCTACGCAGTGTACGCGTCACCTCTTTATGCACGTAAGCGTACGCTGCATAAGTTGCGTACGCCCCTTAGATATACCAAAAGATTCGTGGCAAGCTGAGCCCGAATCTTCTTTCCGTTTTGAAATTTAATTGAAGTAAAAGAAGTTATGCTGATAATAAGCAAAGTCGGCGACTTTGGCGAAGCTGGCGAATTCGCCGATTTCGCCGAGAATTTTCACATTTCATTGTCATAACAGTACCAGTGTTCAATTGAATTTAGTTGTTTTTGAGAACTCATGTTTCATTGAAATTTCAGCAAATCGGTGGAAGCAGCCATTTTGATTCAAATATCTTTGATGTCTTCTTTACTGGCTTTCTGGAATCATCATGTGACCAAAGTCACTATTCGATTGCAAACCATGAGAATAACATAGCATCAATACACAAAGAATTCGCAAACTCTGTGCAGTTCACTTTTTTCTGACAGTTATTTTTTCTTTGTGAGTGTGCAAATTTGCAAATAAAAATGTTCTACAAGTGCTAAACAAAATTTGAGCACATTTGTTGGACACAGTATCTTATTCGAGATTCATAGTTAAACCACCTTATAATTTGATACTTTTTGTACATACGGCGCGTCGTATTGTACGTCTCCAAAGCTCGTTACTTTGGCATCATTTAGAATAGCTTAAAAAAATAGGTAAAGAAAGGAAAAAGTACTAAATTGAATAAGCTTTGCTCTATCCGTTTGATCACTAATTCTCTTTCAAAGATTAGCACAAATATTCCAAGCTGAGGTTAGACAAGGTAAGAGCGATGGGCTCAAAACATTTAGCAATCACCAAGTTTTTCGAAAACGTAGCTGCTTCAGAGAGAAATATAAGCTGAGTCAAATGAGAAATATTTGTCAAGCATCACTTCATATATTATATTCTGCTAGTCAGTCAAAGTAGATATGGCAAACTTTTCATCGACACTATATGATGATAGGTTCGCTAAGTTTTGTTGGTATGTAGTTATAAGCCTCATGCTTTTGAATCACTTTTGAAAAATCACAGATCTGGTTCAACTTTCAAGCTTCACTAATCCTGCAAGGTATACGTTTCATGCAATGAATTGAGTTCAGACCTCGAAATACAAGGCACATATGTTTGACCGCTAATGCACTTTCCAGTAAATCTTCCAGGCATTTCCAGATCATCGCTCATTTGCAGGGTAGCCCAAAGCGTCTCGTCTATCCCACGGACCTGAGAGAATTTCATTAATAGAACTGAGAGGTAACGATCTGTACAGATACACTTGAAGTTATATAATTGTCCGCAATTCAAAAACTTTGTATATGATGCAAGAACTTTTGCCACATACATTGTTTCTACGTTCAGTTATAAAATTCTTTTTAATTGACACTGAAAGGGCTGACAAAAATTGCGCCAAGAGCTGCGGGACGATATAGCAATGAACAAGCCACAATGCTTCCGAAATGAGCGAGGAAGGTCCCGAAGCTGTGTCGCCCGCGCAGGCCGCAAATTTGGTGGGAATAAGACAGGATCCCTATTAGTCATTAAATCTATCTCCCTTCGGCAACTTTTTCCGAAACTAACAAGGATTCAGTCCCGAAACTGAGCTTTCCTCAGACAATCGCTGGGGGCAGGCGGACACCGGGAAAATGGATTGCTGATTTCTCGCACCCCGCTCGCGGATTTTTTGCAAAGCAATCAGGACTTTTTGGAAGACCGCTTGCTGAGTCAGCGGATTTTTGAGACCGCCTGTTGAATTTTTTTCGCTCTTATCTTTTGCAGATATATTGCTGAATCTCTGAGGAATCGAGAACTCAGCAAGCGGTCTTCCGAAAAGTCCTGATTGCTTTCCAAAAAATCCGCGAGCGGGGTGCGAGAGATCAGCAATCTATTTTTCCGGTGCCCGCCTGCCCCCGGCGATTGTCTGAGTCGGTGCCCTACGAATTCCTTCAATATTGGTTTACTTGCAAAAAGAAAGAAAACAGTGTCAGGGCATTAGTCGAGAGCGCTGAAAACAGTGACGCTTATTTTACAAAAATAGGTTGGTCATCAGTAAAGTGCTCTTGATATAGAGATATAATACTCTTGATATAATACTTGTCTGCAGTTCAACGGTGGCGGCTGGAAGGCGACCGCTCGCGCACGCGAAGCAGTCTGCGCCTCTCTGGCGAGCGTGCTCTCAGATCATTCCCTAGCCTTGATTAGGCCTCAAAGTCTCGCCTTCCAGCCGCCATATCCGTTGATTTAAGAGTATGTATGTATTTATCTATGTTTGTATGTTCTGAATAAAATCCCGTTGAACCGGTTCGGACTGCACATATACACTTTAGGCGGGTAAGTGTCATAGGTCACTTTTCGTTATCGATCGACATCTATTTTATCAAATTTTTGAGTTTTGAATTACGAAGATGTGATTTCGCAAAGAGAATAAGTGACCATGCTGGTCACCTCAATATGAATGATTTATCACCTCCACCGATTTTATAGATCCTAGTGGACTTTGAGCTAGGGAGTTGGAGCTGGCACGGGAGCTAAATGAGCATGCTGTCATGAAAATGTAGGGGCACGGAATTGCATGTTGATGTGGGACAACTACAGGAAAGAGGGTGCCGGAGCTGGGTATGTCAGCAAGTCTTTGCAAAACTCAGTGTCCATGGCCTGCCTTCTGCGTCTATTTTTGTATTTTTGTACTAGGTACAAAATGCATTTCTGCGTCAAGTTGGACTCAATTTTGTAACATGCACTACATGTGGTGGATTTTGTAGGCTAATCTGCTTCATCGATCCATATCACGTTTTTCTCTATCAAGCACAGTTAAATTTGGCCCACTGAGAGTTGGCACAGGGGATTAGTCAGAAAGCTGTTCACGAGTGTATTGCTAATCAGCGGGATCAACTGCCTAATCAATTTTTTTTTGCTAATTCCGAGCGGGGTACGGGTCTGATGCAGTTGCAAGGAAGTATACTAATCACGAACAGGGCACGGCACAGGTGGCTTAACAAGCAAGCTGGATATCGTTTTTGGGAAAAAGCAAAGGGGATATCGTTTTTGCGGATGAGCATAACGTTGTCTTTCGATTTGCGGCCGGCACGCTGCCGGCATGCCGCCAGCAAATAAACAAAGGGCTTGTTTACAGCGAATTGAAGATGAAATGACACCAAAATAGGTGTGTAGATGGGCAATGGGGAGTTAGGACTAAGTATGAAAAATTATGAAAAAATCATGTGAACTAAATGCGTGCTCAACTTTTTTCCGAGTTAGGTGGCTTTCAAGCCACCTGGATAGCCACCTCAGGTGGCTTAGGAAAGAAAAAGTCATAAATTTTTCCTCACTCACATAATTTTTCTACTTTCTTTACATACTTTTCATCTACATCCCAAACCCTATAAACTGGTTCCTAAACCGCCTCAAACCCCCTTCTCCCCGCTTAGTTATAGCCCTTTGAAAATTCTGAATGGCGGCGAAAAGGCTGCTCTAGGCGCATATTGCTGCACGATGGATACATCACGCCGCCAATCCGGAGAATATGAATATCATCGTGTGTGTTCAATGATTCTTTTTCGTTTTTTCTTTCTATTGTGGCTTTGTTCAGTTCCTTTTCATGTATTTACTCTTCGAATATCTCGTGGCGGATGTCGTAATTTCATTGAAGACAAAGGAAACTTCATTTTTTGCAATTTCGGGACGCCTCTCGTGCCGAGCCCTGGTCTAGGGTCAAAGGGGACTTCGTAAAAATTCGCAAAAATCAAGGGGGACTTCGTTTTTTGCATTTTCAACTAGCCACCTCGTGCCGAGCCCTGATCACGAATGGAGGCGGAAGGGCAGTTTATTAGAAGTTTTGGAACTATTTTGAAATGTTACCAAATCGTGGTGCTTATTGAGATCGATTGCAAAAAGTGATTTCTAATTGGCACTATTATGAATGGAAGGATCTTTTACGGATGCTTCAAGAACAATCTCTCTGATTTTTTCTCGGAAATAAACTCAAAAAAGTAGTGCCGAAAAAGCAGTATTTATTGCCGTGCGCACATCTTTTGCTAAACCAATCAAAGTCTTTCTGAAGAGGTGATAATGATTTGATGACTTTGGTGAGTTTGATTTAGGGTTGAGTAATTTCAATTTTATCAAACTGGTCTTGAGCTGGTATACAGGTTGTCCCAAAAAATGTATCGAACGTTTGATCGTTAATATCTCTTTTCTAAAGAAGTCTTTTCTTTTGCTTCAGGTACCATTCTGTAGAGCTGGCTTCAACTTAGATTAGCATTATAGAACGAATCACTCATCTCTCTTCTACTGTAGGGTTACGGTAGAAACTTTAAAGAGAATTTTAAGCAATGAAAGGCCATATTTTGCCTCAGAAAAAAAACAAAACAGCCTGAAAATTTTACACTAGGCTAATTAGAGTTGCTGATTATAACTGTAAAGTTCCCGACTTATTATGATGCTTCATTGAAGAGTTATGCTAGGTAAGAGGCAGCGGCCATTTTTTCAATGATCTTATAAAGTGCGATTACACCGTTTAGAAAGCTTCGTAATCTTGTGAATAGTTGAGTATTGAACTCAGCGTCCATAAAAACTCTATTACACATGTTTTCACACTTTTTTGAAAAATTTTGAAACGGCAGCTTTATCCATATTGACACCATAAGTTTCAAGTTTCTACCGTAATCCTACAATAATGAAGAGAGATGGGTGATTCGTTTCATAATGAAAATCAAAGTTGAGGCCAGCTCTACAAAACGGTATCTGAAGCAAGGCAAAAGACTTCTTGGGAAGAGAGATATTAACGATCAAACGTTCGATACATTTTTTTGGGACACCCTGTATTTTGTCTGAAGTAAGGTCTCTGGTTGTTAGTCATCTGTGTTCTATACTTACGTCGCTGTTGAGTTGATATATAAGCGTTGTTAGGTCAACACTTCTTACAGCCCAGTCTACAGCAGCTCGGCTTAGCGAGGACTGCACTATTCCTCGAATCTCTGGTAATTCAGCTGCTAACTGTTTCGGTGACGCTTGAGTTTCTAAAAAGGTCTATGACACTGGAACTATCACTTGAACACTGACCGTTGCGAAAGAGCTTTAACGATCGTGCATCCCAGCTGAATGACTGATTCCATCTATCACTTTCACATGGCCTTACGCAATTGTCATTAGCTCCGCCGAGCTCTTTCAATATCGAAACTGTTTCGTACACAGTCTTTATTACCATATCGTAATTCTGAAATTGATAAGCATGTAAAAAAGATGGTTACACTTTCATGGAAAAACTGGCTTGGACATCATGTCCGCTATATGGGGCTAATAACAAAAAGCATACCTGGAGCAACAAAACGTACTGCCAGCCTGTATATCTGTTGAGGAGTTTAAGGCAGTCATAATGGGCGAAGTTCATATTGTATCCATGTCTACTTATATTATAACGCACTGAATGATTGTTGTTGAGGAGAGTACAATCAGGACTGAGGATGGAAAAGTCAAGCTGAAAATAATTTTCGGAAGGAGCAAATGGGTATCGCGTGAATTTTTCTTCACCTGCACCCGTCTTAAAAATTTCCAAGCTAGAACCTGTGGTGAGCACGTGAGTTGTGCCAATTTTAACGCAAATGATGATAAGAAGACTTGTTCACTATAGGCAATAGTGGACACTGGCATTGGATGCCTATAGCCGTAATGAGGAAAAGATAATTCAAGATACTATGTTAGAGAGTACGCGTATGAATTGCATGGATTTATACGTGGCTTTACGTACCGAAAACTAGAAAATGTACTATAAAGCGGTAGATGATTACTCAGCTTCAAGTTTGATCAACTCGGACAAGAAACAAAATTCGCAGCAATAATGATCGAAAAGGAAAACTTTACAGCTATAAATTCCGGGAAGACAGTAATTTCCAAAACTTTTGCTGCCACTATCGGGTCCGAGCTTTTTGCACTAAAGAGGTTTAAGACAAGCAAGAAGACAACTAGTGGCGATTTTTTGCTGACGAGGCAGGCACCCTGCTTGTTTTTTACATTGTTTCCACGCTCTTCTCTTTTTGCATGAAGTAGCAGTTTGCCAACCTTCGCTTTTGTCAGCTATCAATTGTAGAAAGACTGAGGAAGCTAATAAAAGCTACAACTAATAGTCTTCATAGGATTATCCTTCTGCGTAGACTATTGCTATTATTCCTGTACTTATTTCAAATAATGTTTGCAAAAGTTAGAGCTTTTTCGACATGTGCATGTGCTCGTTTTTTCATAACAAAACTTGAAATTTTCACCAGTAATAGTACCTGGAGACAGCAGCACATTAGGCAAACATCTTGAAAGCGCTTTGATGCGGGAGTAAAAGTCTGCACTGGGTTTCGCGCCGACTGAGAAACAGAAGATATTTTGTTGGTGGTAGCTAGATCTGACTTCATCTTCGACAAAAGTGTAACTCTAAAATGAAGAAGATGTAATTTGATTGATTCAACCAGTAATTTGATTTTTTCAGCATTCTAATTCTACCTCCTCTAAGTACAAAATGTTTTTTGAAAAACACCAAAGTAAGAGTTCAAGCAATCGAAATCATATTTTTTATAGCGCAAGTTTCTGAGAAAGCAATGCTGCCAAGCGGCTTCAAGCAATGTCATTGCAAATTGCAAGGTTTTTTTTTATTGAAATAGGACATCGTCTGGGTATGAAACCGCAAAAATTGAGGACCATGATAAATCTATAGTATGACTTTCGAATGTGGCACAAGGTTACCATTGTGGCAGCTACATCTGAAACTGAAGAAACTGCATGGTAACTCGTATGACAGACAACTCCGGGATATTGTTCAGAGCGGGCGCAACGGAATATCTTGGAACATAAAGAATCGTTTAGACCGTGGCGGTATACCAGCCCCTACCGTACAACCCCGCCTTACCCGTCCGAACCCGCTCGAACTCGCCGGAACTTGCCACATGACGGAAGCGAAGAAGATATGTCGTTTAGTTAAGATACCTGTGGCTAATAGTACATTTCCTAATGCTCGTGGTAATTCAAGCACGTTTTAAGATGTCAATTTCCAGGAACTCTTTCCTCGTTTGGTAGGATCCTGCGGCGGATTTCAGCGGAATCGGACAACCCGCCGATGCCTAAGCATACATCAATTTATACATCAATTTCAATAAGCTTTGATTAAACTCCAAACTTCATACTTGAACGTATATATAAGTCAATTTAACCTTGAATGTTTTGTCCTTAAAACAATGACAAGAAAATTCTCGTACCTCATGCACGACACGAGCATAAGCCACACCAAACTCCATTTTCTTCAAAACCTTCGGCGGTAGCACACGTGCTTTTATTTCTTTGCATGACATATCTAGCGTACTATTCCTTAGTACTGAGCGATTTTGCGTGAGTTCCTTGATATAAGCCTTAAACGATGCTTTATAATTATTTAACATTCTAGCGCAATGCTTTGTAGGCAGACCTTGTCTCCACTGAGTACCTTATCGCATAATACGTGCTTTGTTTCAACCTTGTGATGAAATTCAGGCATGTTCTGAATTAGTGTTGCTTACCAAAAAAGCTGCAAGAAATCATAACTTAGTCTTAAGTTTTTTCGTTTCAACTTGTTGTATGATCTATCGCTCACAGCGATCTATCGCCTCGCCGCATTCATAACGATGTGGTCACCTCTTACTCTATGCTGAATTGAAGTTTCACTGCCATCGTAGGCTGCGATTAGATCATCGTTAGATTTCAACAGCGAAAATATTCACACCTACATTGAATAAATTTCCCCTCACAATTCCATCTCTGTCATCCGCAATGCATTTTTTCAAAGTACAAACTTTTTTCTTTCCGTTATCGACCTTCCTTCATCACGTCGAAAGCGCAAAAATTAGGCAGTTGTTCTTTGGCATAATCGTAAGTAGTTTGCCCGGCCTCACAAGCAACGCCTTGAATTGATTTTTATTGCCAGCAGTATTTTTGCTTTCTTAAACATTTTGGAGACAAAGCATGCTAGCAGAATATAATAAACTTTTACACAACTAATTACATTTAACAAGTCTACGCAACAATGCTCGTTTCATTATATATGGTTTGTTTGATTGAAAACTTAATTTTTGAAAATATGGAAAACGCTGCCGGAAACAACTAAGGTGTGCTCAAGCTAGTCACCATTATACTTTTTTGCCGATAGTGAAGGTGAATCCGAGATCAGCGTTTGGAGATATGTGCCCATATGAATCGCTTCTTATACGCCCACATCAAACAACTGTTCTTCCTTTTTGACAACAAATTATTTTGAAACGGTAAGCAATACACAGGAAGGGCCCTCGGATTTATTTCATGCGTTTTAAGCAGGATTTGATCGGAAGTTCCAGAACACTTTCAGCACAGCTTCTTGAACTGTGCCGGGGTGCAGGAGGCGCTGTAGCCGCTCGCGTGCGGTTTTGAGCGAAGGGAGTTGAAAATCTTTAACCGTTTTCAAAGTTTTTTCTCAGATTTCATCCAAATCGGTCCACACCTCTACTCCGCTTCCCCTATTGATGGAGAGAGTCTCCTTGCGAAGTTGGAAAACGAGCGCCGTTCTGCTTCGATGTATCCGGAAAAATGTGTCTTCGTGCGTTCGTCCATTCTTTCTTCGTTATTTTTCCTCAACCCTACCTTACGTGCTTCAGAAAGCAGCTGCGTATTTTCCACAGCCATCGTCTTGAGTTGAAGATAATAAACGCTTTTGAAAATGCGCAAAATCCGAACTTTTTCGGTACTTTTCCGTTATCCGTTCCCATTTCTTCAAAGAAGGATATTTCTTCTGACCTTATACCATATTTGGTCCCAAATTCATAGGAGGGAGTGCCAACGTTCTGCCACGTGTCAAAAAAATTTGACATATCGTCTACATGTTTAACAGGTTTTATCAAGGGCTTTGTTTTGCGCTACCTAGCGACGTAAGTTCAATTTGTATCTTAATCAATAATGACCCCATTTTCATCTAAAAAAAATTTCAGAAATGAGTACTGTTATAATAATAATGTCATCGTATCTTAAACGAACGGTTTAGACTTGTCCAGAATAGAGAAGTTCGCTAGGATTCCGTTATCCAAGCGGTGAAACACGCAGCAGCGAAATACTGCAAGCCACCATTTATAGTCTCTATTGGCTAATTTCGTATGGCGGGAAGTTTGGAGAGGAAGACAATCTTGAATTACTGCTGAATGTAATCAAAATCTGGGATAAGTTCTAGACTGTTTTGTTCTTATAAAAAACATTTGAAAGGCTTTTAGATGGTCACAAAAGCTCTTTCACCTCACTAAAAATGATTTTGGAAAAAACAAGTCAAATGGACGAAAACATGTCACTTATTTCCTGACACATGGCGGGGAGGCAGTGTTTGTAGAACCTATGTAAAATTGTTTTTATGCTAAAAGACGTATTTTATGAGAGCCTTTTGAAAAAATGGGTCCGAATAACGGATTTTTTTCTAGTTTCCTAATGAGCTTCATTTTTGGCAAATCTCTACCCTTTTCTCTTTTTCATTTCAATGCTTATCCGTTCTTTCTTCTACCCCCTCCTCTCCTTGTATTGAGGAAAGCAGCGAACATGAAGCGGGTTGAAAAACGAACGCTGTTCTGCTCCTTTTATTTGAAAGGATGCGTGTTCGTGCGCTCTCTACTTCATGTGTTCCAGGAAGTAGCTGCATAGCCCCTTAACTGTATTAACGCAAAGACAGCCTTCAACAACGCATGAATTAAGTGTGAAGAAAAATAACGAAGGGAGTGCACGAGCGCACAAGGACAGACCGAAGAGACTGAGTGGAATCTGAAAGAAAATTAAACAATTAAAACAAACGTTTGAAACAATCAAAAATCTCCAACTCCTGCCGCTCAAAACCACACGGGGGCACCGTGCTGGAACTGTGCTGTAACGCACGCAGCACAGTTCCAGCACTGTTCTTGCACATCGAGAACTGCTAGAACGGTTCCAGAATTTCCGGATCAGCATGGGCTTAACCTTAGTCGCAACCCTAACTGACAATGCTCCAATCATTTATGACTCATCGTCAACGCATGCAGAAGGTAAAATAAGACATATTACCTTCTGCGTAAAGTAGGCACGCTATACTTCTCTAGTCTGCCAGTGTTAGATTTGAAGACACCTCAAAATTCCCAGATGGCGAGGCGATGAAACCGAAGTATGTCCGGGGCTCAAAAGATTTTGCATACATGCAAAACACTTTGAGAATAGAAGGAACAGAGAAATGTCAGCAATAATACGTTCTTCCGGGAAGCTAATTTTTTTACAAAGACAAATCCATCTTTCTTTGCGCAAACTCACATGCGAAAATGAGTGCACCGACGCAATCGTTTCTCTCCGCCGTTTGTTAAATCAAAATTTACCTACTCACCTCCAATCTTAGCACTCGAGATTTGCAGACGGAAGCAATAAAAGAGTAAGCGATTCACACACCAGCAAATTATCTTAAGCTGGTACTGTTCTAACTGATACTATCAGCTACATGACAACATTGAGTACTCATTTTGGTGTGCTTATGCAAGAATAATGGAGGTTCATCACAGGCTGTCAGGCTTTGCCGTTAAGCAGATAAGCCGTTATCCAGACAAGTTTATAAAGATTACGAAAGCGGAAAAAACTCATTAACAATTTCTACTTAAGTTTTTATTTTTTTGAACACACCTTGTGAGGCAATGATGGATGCTCCCTAGGTGCAATCAGGGCCCGGCAGGAGGTGGCATTTCAGGATTTTGAAAACGATAACCCCTTTGAAGCCAAAATTTCTTACGACTTCCCTTTTGACCCTATTTTTGACCCCCGTAAGTCCCTGACAGTCCCGAAGTGCAGGCTGGTAGGCATGCAATGAACTCGTAACAGTTGTCTTGTCGCGATTCAATCGCGACGATCAAATCGCGTAAACTCTGTCGAGTAAGGGATCGTCCAGGCCAAACACATTGTAAATATGGGTCTCGCTGATCCACAAAAATATTGGAGGCAATGAAGGAAAACACACAAAGAAAAAGCAAAAAATTACAAATGTACAAAAACGAATGCAAAAATTCGATGTCATGTAACATATTTGCATAAATGCACCATTCCACCTACCTGAGATAGTCCAAATGAGCCGCAAATTGGTGAACCAAGTGCGACGTGCTGTAGTCGAAAGTTCTGACATGCATGTCATCTGAGCCGGTAACAATCCAATTTCTGCGTGAAATAAACTTGGCAGCGCGCACTGGCAAATCACATATCTGAAGAATGCGCAAGATACTGGATTGAAACATAGTAAGCAACATAAGGCCCCAACCAGACTTCAACTGAACAGCCCAGAACCGCTCAAAATCACCAAAGGCCCCTTTTCACGGCGCATATATACAAGAACACCTGGCAACGCTTAACTATTTGCGGGATAGGAACTCATTCTTGGATGAGCTATCTTGAGCGAAGTCTGGCCGGGGCCTAACATACAAAAATACATGAAAATTCAAAAAAAAATTAACCTACTCTGAAAGATTTCAGAAGCAGCTGACTCTGATAAATATATCTGAACGCTTCCACTATAAAGAGCTGCCAATAGCCACGTTTACGTGGGATGAAGGTCCATCGACTTTACTCGACTCGATCTTGTCAAAGCATTTCCTCAACTTTTGATGACAGCATGCCTGCAACAATCAGAATAAAGGAGAACGACGAAAAACGACCCAAAAGAGCGAAAGTACGGAGAAATCGACCATATTGCGAAAAATGAAGAAACACAATCACAAAAACAACTTTTAACATAGAACATCACGACCAAATATGATCTCTGGCCCTTCTGAGCCCTTGTAGGGCTTGTCGAAGAAGCAATCTATTTAAAAATTGTAAAGATTGCTTCAATCAGCGATCACTTATCAAGCAAAAAGTCAAATTCTCGAAGTTTCCGCGTCGTCCGTGCAAGGTGCACCGCTTGCAATTGGAGCGCGCTTTCCGAGGCCGATCATAACGCCGTGAACCCTATTTGGGGCTGTATCTAAGCGGTGCCCTGGTGGTTTTGGAAGCGGATTTGAACATGTAGTGATACTCTCGACCTAGTCCACATTTATGTAAAGAAATCCGGGAAATTATGTGAAGGGAAGCAGGGAGCCACCCCAGGTGGCTCCCAGGTGGCGCGGGAGCCACCTAATTTCGAAAAACACTTACCATTTTTTTAATTCACATAAGTTTTTCATAATTTTTCATACTTTTTTTGTGCTCATGGTCCTCCAACTATACAGCAAATTTGGTGCCATATCGTTACTTGTGCATTGAAAACGAGCCTATTTTGTTATTTTCCTCTTACAAGAATTGCGATTTGAATTCCCGCCTGCGGGAAGGCTAGCGATCGGAGCACAGAATCTTCACATTGCTGGAATCTAAGTTCATAGGACAGTAGCATCAATAAGGAATGATGAATAAAGAATGATATGTGCATTGTTTATCGGTAAAACAAAGAAGAAGTCGTATTTTGGGATCCGGGGCTCCGCCCCGGACCCCATAATACGACTTCCCCTTTGCTTT